AAAATGGACAGATCTTCCAAACAAAACATTAATAAACATATCGTGGCGCTGAATGAAACACTGAATCAAAGAGACTTAACTGACATATATAGAATCTTACATCCCAAAGAAGAAAAATACACATTCTTTTCAAATGCTCACGGCAGTTTTTCAAAGATAGACCACATGATAGGACACAAAGCAAGCCTCAGTAAATTCAGGAAAATTGAAATAATACCAAACTTTTTCTCAGACCACAAGGCCTTGAAACTCGAAATCAAACTCAAAGAGAAACTTCAAAAACTTGGAAACTCATGGAGACTGAACAGTACACTTTTAAACAATGAATGGGTCAATAATGAGATAAGAGAAGAAATAAAAAAATTTCTGGAAACAAATGAAAATGAACAGACAACTGTCCAAAACCTATGGGACACAGCAAAGGCGGTCCTGAGAGGGAAGTTCATAGCAATACAGGCTTACCTTAAAAAGATAGAAACATTTCAAATAAAAGACCTAACACTACAACTTGAAGAACTGGAGAAACAACAACAAATCAATCCCAGAGCAAGTAGAAGGAAGGAAATAGTCAAGATTAGAGCAGAACTGAATGACATAGAGACAAAAAGAACAATTCAGAGGATCAACCAATCCAGAAGCTGGTTCTTTGAAAAGATTCATAAAGTGGACAAACCTTTGAGCAGACTCATCAAGAAAAAAAGGGAGAGGACCCAAATTAATAATATCAGAAATGAAAGAGGAGAAATAACAACTGATACCACAGAAATACAAATGATCATCAGAAACTATTATGAACAATTATATGCCAAGAAATTTGAAAATCTGGATGAAATGGACAAATTTTTAGAAAAGTATAATCTTCCAACACTGAAGGAGGAAGAAACAGAAAGCTTGAACAGACCGATAACAGTTGGGGAAATTGAAGCAGTAATCAAGAAACTCCCAGCACACAAAAGTCCAGGGCCAGACGGTTTCCCAGGAGAATTTTACAAAACATTTAAGGAAGAGCTAACCCCTGTCCTTCTCAGACTATTCCAAAAAATCCAAGAGGAGGGAAGACTGCCAGACTCCTTCTATGAGGCCAGCATCACCCTGATCCCAAAACCAGATAAAGACCCTACAAAGAAAGAAAACTACAGGCCAATTTCGCTGATGAACATAGATGCTAAAATCCTCAACAAAATATTGGCAAACCGCATCAAGCAATACATTCAAAAGATTATCCATCACGATCAAGTGGGATTCATCCCAGGGATGCAGGGATGGTTCAATATACGCAAATCAGTAAACGTGATACACCACATAAATCAAAGAAAAGACAAAAACCACATGATCATCTCGATAGATGCAGAAAAAGCATTTGACAAGGTACAGCACCCATTTATGATCAAAACACTCAGCAAAATGGGAATCAATGGGGCATTCCTCAACGTAATAAAGGCCATATATGAAAAACCTACAGCCAATATCATACTCAACGGGCAAAAACTGAAAGCTTTCCCACTAAGATCGGGAACACGACAAGGATGTCCGCTCTCACCGCTTCTTTTCAACATCGTATTGGAAGTCCTAGCCACAGCGGTCAGACAAGAGAAAGAGATAAAAGGCATCCAAATAGGAAAGGAGGAAGTAAAACTATCATTGTTTGCAGATGACATGATAGTGTACATAGAGAACCCTGTAGACTCTACCAAAAAACTCCTCAACCTAATAAGTGAATTTGGCAAAACAGCAGGATACAAAGTCAACATTCAGAAATCAAAGGCGTTTTTGTACACCAGCAATGCAATAGAAGAAGAAGAAATCAGGAAAAATATACCATTCGATATAGCACGAAAAAAGATAAAGTACCTAGGGATAAATTTAACCAAAGACACAAAAGACCTGTATGCAGAAAACTATACAACATTGAAAAAAGAAATTAAGGAAGACACAAATAAATGGAAGCATATACCGTGCACATGGATTGGAAGAATTAATATCCTTAAAATGTCCATACTACCAAAAGCAATTTATAGATTCAACGCAATCCCTATTAAGATACCAATGACGTATTTCACAGAAATAGAACAGACATTTCAAAAATTTATATGGAACCATAAACGACCTCGAATAGCTGCAGCAATTTTGAGAAAGAAACACAAAGTAGGAGGGATCACAATACCGGACATCAAACTCTACTACAAAGCCACTATACTCAAAACAATCTGGTACTGGCACAAGAACAGACCCATAGACCAGTGGAACAGAATAGAAAGCCCAGAAATAAGCCCAGGTCTCTATGGACATCTAATATTTGACAAAGGGGGCAGAAGCATAAAATGGAGCAATAACAGCCTCTTCAACAAATGGTGTTGGGAGAGCTGGATGGCTACATGCAAAAAATTGAAATTGGATCATCAGCTGACACCATACACAAAAATAAACTCAAGATGGATAAAAGACTTAAATATAAGTCGCAACACCATCAAAGTCCTAGAGGAGAACATTGGCAGCAAACTCTCAGATATCCCACGCAGCAATTTTTTCACTGATATGTCTCCTAAAGCAAGGGACATAAAGGAAAGAATAAACAAGTGGGACCTCATCAAAATAAGAAGCTTCTGCACGGCTAAAGAAAACATCAGCAAAATGAAAAGGGAGCCAACCATTTGGGAAAATATATTTGCTAATGATACATCAGATAGAGGTTTGATCTCCAAGATATACAAAGAACTCACTCGACTTGACTCCAAGAAGACAAACGATCCAATCAAAAAATGGGCAAAGGACCTGGGCAGATGCTTTTCTAAGGAGGAGATACAGAGGGCCCAGAGGCATTTGAAAGGATGCTCTGCATCACTAGCCATTAGAGAAATGCAGATCAAAACCACCATGAGGTACCACCTCACACCGGTCAGAATGGCCATCATAAACAGATCCACAAACAACAGGTGCTGGCGAGGCTGTGGAGAAAAGGGAACTCTAGTCCACTGTTGGTGGGAATGCAGACTGGTGCAGCCACTATGGAAAGCAGTGTGGAATTTCCTCAGAAAGCTGAAAATGGAACTGCCTTTTGATCCAGCGATTCCCCTGCTGGGACTATACCCTGAGAACACCAAAACGCCAATACAAAAGAACCTATGCACCCCAATGTTCATAGCAGCACAATTTACAATAGCCAAGTCTTGGAAGCAACCTAAATGTCCATCAGTAGATGATTGGATCAAAAAATTATGGTACATATACACAATGGAATACTACGCAGCAGAAAGAAAAAAAGAAGTACTAAACTTCGCAACAGCATGGATGGAACTGGAGAGCATCATGCTAAGCGAAATAAGCCAGGGGGCGAAAGACAAATACCATATGATCTCACCTATAAGCGGAACCTAACCAACAATGCAAAGATGCAAGGAAAATATGACCAGCAACACTGAAAGGAAAAGAAATCAACAGAGACAAGAGGGAAGGGGGAGGCAGGGAAAGGGAAGGGAAGGGGAAAGTCAAGGAACATATAGCAAGGACTCATGGACAAAACCAAAGGGGAAGAGCTGAGGGAGGGAAGGTGGGAGGGGGCAAGGGAAAGAGGGGGGGGAAGGCAGAGACAAATGTATTTAAAAAGTAAATAAATTAATTAAAAAAAAAAAGAAAGAAAGAAAAAGATCAAACCTATGAACATTAAAAGATGGCAACAAAAGCACAACTATGAACAACTGAATCTTGAGAACACCACCACCACCACAAGAACAAAACGACTAAACAAACAACCAGAATAGGAACAGAATCATACATATGGAGATCATTTGGAAGGTTATCGGGTGGAAGGAGGAAGGGGAGAATGGGGGAAAAGTTGGAAGGATTAAAAAGTATGATTTATAGGTACAAAATAGACAGGTGATGTTAAGAATAGTACAGGAAATGGAGAAGCCAAAAACTTACATGCATGACCTATGGACATGAACTAAGGGATGGCTGGAGGAACAGTGGATACCAGGCAGAGGTGGGCAAAGGGGGAAAAAGTGGGAAGACTGTAATAACACAATCAATAAAATACACTAAAAAAAAAATGGATCCAGAGAGTTGAGGAATCAACACTAGTCAAACTGAACCAAATAACTACAAAAGAAACTGACTTGTTAAAAACACTGAGTGGAGTTAAGTTGTAGGGGCATCCTGTTCTGGTTGCCACATTTAAGTAAAGCCAACTCAAAGACAGTCTTCCTTACCCTTGACTTCTTAAGCAACAATGTGGCTAAGAAGAAAGTTTTATATGAGAGGTGAAAGTAGATCTACTTTTTAACACATAAATTTTTAAAGACCTCTGCCAAACACAGCTGAAAGTCACACCACAAAAGACTTAAGGAATACATATAAAGCACTGAAAAAGAAATACGTGAAATACACAATACTGATAATACTGTTGACCATATAAAATGAAGATAATACGGGTGATCTAAAATTCTTTTTGCTGCTGTTTTGAGATTCACCTTCTAGAAAGACTACTAAAAACAGACAAGAAGACACAATTTTTATTCCATATCTTATGCCTTTTTGTCTCAAAACCCCTAAATGACCTGTGGTCTCAGATATCCTCCAAGGTATGCTCTGAGAAAGGATGATAAACTCAGGGATACTGTACAATGATTAATTAGCCTTAAGATGCCCTTTCTCCAAAGACCAGATACACCTCAAAAGAAACAAAGTGTAGAACCAAAAAAATAAAACCTAAATCATACATTATCACCTATGATTGAAAAGAAGCTTCCTAAGGACACTAAAATCACTCCCCAGAGACAAATCTCTGCTGCTTCTAATCAAAAAGCCAACACAGTCTAAACTATTGTTTCTACTTTACATGGTCCTGATGACTCTACAAAAAATATACAGCAGAACTTGCGGTTGAAATAAACGATGCGATCTTGCTGGGGGTAATTACACATCTTAAAAGAATAGTCTCAAAATGTGTAAAATTATTTCAGTTATACATACAACAACTTAGCAAAACCAAGATATCATACCTGCATGACTTGCTGCAATTTTAGAACTCGCTTGTATATGGCTGAATTGGGAACATTATAGCGTTTGGCATTTTCAAACATTAAATTCAGATCACACTCCAAATGATCCAAAGTTTCATATTCTTGGTTCTTTAGCTTTGTTCTGTGAAAGACAAACACATGGCTAGAATTTTCCATTTGAAAATTATAAACATCCTTCCTCAAATTTCAGTGCAAAAATCCTGGTACATACTATATGGTATCTTCATTAGTGATACTGATTAGAGGTCTAGAAGTGAATAAAGTGAGAAAACAAAAGTATTGTGATATTTAGGCAATATTACAGTTTAACTAAAAATCCAAAAGAACAAACAAAACATGGTAAGAAGTAATAAGAGGACCTATTAAGGTGATCAATTACAATGCAAATATACTAGCAAAATCCCAATGGGAATATCCTGACTTCTGGCCAAGATGGAGGCATAGCAGGCACACTTTGCCTCCTCGCATAACCAAAAGAATGACAACAACAAATTAAAAAAAGAAAAGATAACCAGGACTGCCAGAATATTGAACTGTATGGAAGTATGACAACCAAGTAGCTAAAAAAGAAACATTCATCCAGACCAGTAGGAGGGATAGAGACGGGCAGCCAGGGCAGAGACACGGCATGGCAAGACAATGGCTGGAGAACCATGTGGTCCCACATTTGCATGCACATAAACTGTGAGGAACAGCTGGGGAGCAAGAGAGACCACACAATCCAGGGTACCACCACAGGAAAAGAAAGCCTCAAATCCCCTGGACGTAAAAACCTGTGGGGGTTGCAGTGGCAGGAGAACTCACAACCTCACAGGATTGTCCACTGGAGAGACCCACAGGGTCCTAAAACATACATAAACCCACCCACCCGGGAATCAACACCAGAAGGACCCAATTTGCTTGTGGGTAGCAGGGGAAGTGAATGAAAGCCAGCAGAGAGCCGAGCAAGTGGCATTGTTCCCTCTTGGACCCCTCCCCAACACACAATGTCACAACCCAGCAACCTGGGTTGTCCTGCCCTGGTGAATACTTAAGGCTCTGTCCCTCTCAATGAAACAGGCACACTGAGACAAAGAAATATGGCCCAAATGAAGGAACAGATCAAAGCTCCAAAAATAGAACTAAGCGATGAACACACAGCCAACCTATCAGATGGACAGTTCAAAACACTGATAATCAGGATGCTGACAGAAATGGTTGAGTATAGTTGCAAAATGGAGGAAAAAGTGAAGGTTATGCAAGGTGAAATGAAGAAAAATATACAGGGAACCAACACTAAAGGGAAGGAAATCAGGACTCAAATCAACTATTTGGAGCAGAAGGAAGAGATAAATATTCAACCAAAACAGAATGAAGAAACAAGAATTCAAAAAAAGGAGAGGCTTAGGAACCTCTGGGACAACTTTAAATGTCCCAACATCTGAATCCTAGGGGTACAGAGGAGAAGAGGATCAAAAAATTGAAAACTTATTTGAAAAAATAATGAAGGAGAACTTCCCCAATCTGGTCAAGGAAAGAGACTTCCAGGAGATCCAGGAAGCTCAGAGAGTCCCAAAGAAGTTGGACCCAAGGGAGCATACACCAAAGCACATCATAATTACACTACCCAACATTAAAGATAAGGAGAGAATCTTCAAAGCAGCAAGAGAAAAGGAGACAGTTACCAGCAAAGGAGTTCCCATACGACTATCAGTTGATTTCTCAAAAGAAACCTCGCAGGCAAGAAGGGGCTAAAAAGAAGTATTCAAAGTCATGAAGGACAAGGACCTACATCCAAGACTACTCTACCCAGCAACACTATCATTTAGAATGGAAAAGCAGATAAAGTGCTTCCCAGGCAAGGTAAAGTTAAAGGAGTTCATCATCACCAAGCCCGTATTATATGAAATGTTAAAGGGACTTATCTAAGAAAAAGATCAAAAACTATAAACAGTAAAATGACAACAAACTCACAACTATCCAGCTGAATCTAAAAAAGCAAAAACAAACAATTAGAACATGAACAAAATCAAAGAAATGGAGATCAGAGGGGAGGGGGAATATAGAGGAAAAGGTACACAGAATAAACACCATAAATAGTAAGTACAAAATAGGCAGGGGGATGTTAAGAATAGTATAGGAATTGGAGAAGCCAAAGAACTTATATGTATGACCATGGACATGAACTAGAGGGGGCCAGGGGGAATGCTGGAAGGAGGGACAGTGGAGTGTTGAGGGGAATAAAGGGGAAAAAATGGGAGAACTGTAATAGCATAATCAGTAAGATATATATTTAAAAAGTGTGTGATATAAAAAAAAGTTTTAGACGTAATAAAAGATTCTAATGCCAACAAGAAAAAGAAATCCTCTTAGTGACTAAAATGCAAACTGTAGAAAGAGATAAAAATCAGAAAGGTTAAAACTATCTTAATGAAGATCATGGCAATCTACCCATTTTTGAAAATCAGAGACCATTCTAGGTCATGAGAGTTAAAGAAAAGAGGAAATACTGGCAACTCCATCAAGGAGCATTTAGAATAACCTGTTTACCCCCCAGGGGTGTTACATATGGACAATGGAAGGGTGGTCCTAAGATGTTGAAAAAGAGAAATCTTCCAATACTAACATTTGTAACTAATTAAAGCTGAAGTTTTGGGGTTTTTTTCTTTGTTTTCGGTTTTTTTCCTTAAAAGTCTTAAAAATTCTAGTATTTGTCTCAGACTCTATGGCTATTGTTAATGCCAACTCTCATCAAGTCCCTGTACACTCTGTACCAAGAGAAGAGTTATGGTTTGCCCTAATTCTATATGAATTTAGACAGGATATGTAACAGAGCATATCCAGGGTCTTCCCAAAGGGTATTTGTAACGGGGTCCAGCGATTGGGATGTTCAAGAAAAATATGTTCTTCCCACCCCAAGGCGGGCTGCCTTGGGGGATGGGAGCCTTGAGCAGGGCCACTGAGTCATCTTGCATTGTCAATGACAGGATAGCTTCATTCCTCATATGCAAAAAGAGTTATTTTGCATATCACCAAGGCTAATTTGGAAGGTTTGAAAGACTTAATGCAGAATGTAACTGGGAGAGGAAGGTGGAGAGACAGGGGCCTGCAGGAGAGACAAAGGGACACAGACTCTGGGGAACAGTGTGAAGACCACGCGGGAAGAAAAGAGGGGAGACAGGATTCTTGCTAGTGGCCCATGAGAAGGTGCCACATGGTTATGGATTAAGAGCTGGAGATCGTGGCGACACAGCGGATGATGCTGAGACCCGCGAAGAGGCCTGCCTAGCTGAGCCCCGGACTTCTGTTCTTTTCCTTCTGAAGGACAGCACCCCTGACTGTCCTGACTGGGCAAAGCCGGGGGAAGGCAGGACTGTGTGGGTGCTGGTGATTGTTTTAAAAGGGTGACATTAAGCCATTAATCAAACCTGTATAATTTTTTAATAAATAGTTCCTTTCCTTTTCACCAAACTGCCATTCAGAGCCATAATTCCAAGGGTGGCAGGCAAAGGACCTACAACCAAGGGACTCAGGAAGGGGGTGTCGTTTTGGTAACAGCATCTGGGCACTTCCCCACCAATGGATTCATTTGTTTGGTAACAGATTTTTAAATCTTTTGATTAAAGCACTTGTACACTATTCATCAATGTCCTAGAAACATTTGAAGAACCACAATATGTGTAAACAGCTTCACAGAATGAATGCAGAAATTCCCAATTTTTCTTTTAGAATGACATGATCCTTTCTGTATGTACTTAAAATTTGCCAAAATCACATGCAGATTCCTTGTAGTGCTTAAAGAGATATGAATGTTAGAGAACATGTCTGGGTTAAAGCAAAAAACAACTAAGCACAAACTCAGCTGTCAGTCCCAGTTTATGTAGCTAGCACTCCAAGTTTAAAGCATTGCCTCAGAAGTATTTCTGTCAATTCCAAGGGTAATGTGCTGGATGTTCTCACACCCACAAAGAACAGATGAGAGTGGGTCAAGGGAAGAGCAGAATGGGAAATAAAAGATGGAGTCACACTGTCCAGCTTATGCCCACTCTTCCATTCTTGCTGCTTTTGATGACACTCAACTATCTTCCTTCTGCCAACAAATCTTCCTGCGTCTGTGTGTTACAACATAGTAGCCACTAGCCACATGTGGCTATTTAAATCAAAGTTAAATAAAATTTAAAATGTAGTTCCTTAGTTCCATTACTCACACTACAAGTGCTCAACAGTCACACGTAACTAGTGGCTACCACACTGGATGGCACAGCTCTAGATTTCCCTGTTGGTCATTGTAGAGCATGATGTAAGGTAGCTCAGTTCCTGTGAGGCACCACTACCCCAGCATAAGTCCTTGGGGTAAAAAGGAAGATTAGATATCCTAAAAGCTGATCCTCCAGAATCCTAGTGTGCTATCAGTTAAGCCTCAGCCACTTCTCTATTCGTCACACTCTCCTACCTGTGTGAAGGATAACTGTTATGGTAATGTTCAAAAGTGGGGAGTGGCGCAGAACTATTGACTTGACAAAGTAAGGTGTACATTAGGAAATTCTAACTTGAAAGAAAGTTGTAGGCAGGTGAATGAGCAGGCTAAGGATTTGTTTTCTTCTTAACTACATTAGTTAGACTGTTTAAATTTAAAAAAGACTGCAGAAGAAAAGATACTGACAGGAACTGTTCAATTAAAAGAGAACCTTTTAATATCTGACTGTCACCATTTTTTCTAAGGCAAAGAATATTAAAAAACCAAATTTTTAGGCTATTTTTTTTACGAATGACAGCCTCAATTTCCATGTTATTTTAAGAGAGCCAAATGTGTTGATTTTCTAACTTCCTACTTGGGTACAAAACCTCAAAAGTTTGGAACACATAAAAACACTATAAATCTTACTGATCAAATGATAAAAACAGAAGTTACAAAAACAAACTTATAAAACATATGTTGTTTATACAAACTTGTTTCCTAGAATACAGCAAATACAAGAATTTTAATTCCTACTCTTTGGAAGGTTTATTATCTGCCATGAGAGCATAATGTAAATATCAGCTTAATTTGACCATGCCCAGTTAAGATATTTTTACCTTCTTTGTGCCTCCATTTGGGTATATTGCAAAACCTAACCCACATGTGGGAGTTCCAAAACATCATATTTTATAGTATTACTAATTTCTTACTATTTGTAATGCCATTGTGATGGTTTCAGTGTTGTCTGGCTGAATTCCCAAAAAATCACTTTAACACTGTCTGAGCAGGAAAGGAAAACCAAGATGAACCATCTTTCAGTAGTTGTTTCAGCTAATTAATTATCTAGGAACAGTCCAAAACTTATCCTGGGAGGAGGAGAATTTAACTACAGATTACAAACTTTACATATAGATAAACTATTGTAATTAAAATATCAATAAAGGGTATAGGAAAATTTCTGTACCTTGTTCAGTTATAAGAAAATGAACAGTTTAATTTTGAGCTGCAAGACTTTTTATAATCCATAATGTGACACAAAAATGTCTAACTGGAACACCTTTCATCAATTTGCCTCTTGACTCTATCGCAGTACAAAGAATATCATTTATGTTTAGTCAAATTTGTACCTCACACTCTGACCAATGTGGCTTAGTTGGTTGGGTGCTGTCTCTCAAAGCAAAAGGTTGCAAGTTCTATTCCCATTCAGTGCACATGTCTGAGTTGCAGGTTCAGTACCTGGTTTCTTTCCCTCTCTTTCTCCCTCCCTTCCCCTTCTCTAAAACAAACAAACAAATAAAACAACAACAACAAAAAATTCTCATGTTAAAAAAAATTTATATCTCCCAACAGGACTGATATTTAAGTATACTCTAGACATGTGTTAAACATTTATACTTTTGATATCCTTTTCCATTTTCGGAAGGAAGATACATGTGCAGGCTCAACCACAAGAAAATGGATTTATAGCAAGTAATGTAGAAGACATCTTACCTGATCTGTTGTAGTGATATGGGCATTTTAATTTGCTGATAATAATCAGGGTATTTTTTCTTTGAAGGCAAATGGAAAAAAGGTTCAGCTATTAGCTGCCCTTGGTTATTCCGACAGCTCCTAACTGTGTCATAAAGCTGATATAAAGGATTTGAAACATCCATAAATGAAGTAATGCTCTCTGCTTCTGACTCTCCTTCTTCATAACGTGCAGCTAGGAAGACAAAAAAGGTATTTATAAGGAAAAGAACAATACTGTGAAAAGTTCTTTTTAACAACCTTCTGGGTTAAGTTACAGGTTTGAGAATACTTATTTTAAAAGAATAATCTCTAGCCTGCACTAAAGATGATGTTAGTAATGCTTAATATAATTGTGTGTTTACTTAGAGGAATGTTATATAAGAAACAGAGTAGAATGTTACATAGTAAAAGTTATACTGTTTTTAAAAGGTTACAGAATAATTCCTCTTTTTAAACCTGCCTTCTTCAGAGGCTCCCTGCTCTGTGTGACTGGCCAACAAAAGAACAAGTAGCCTTTCATGGTTCTCAGAAGCAAAATATAAAAGCTAAAACTATGAAATTCTCAGAAGAAAATGTAGGTGTAAATTTTCATGGCCTTGGATTAGGTAATTGACTGCCATCCACTTTCTTTTTTCTTTTTTTAAAAATTAATTGATTTTTAGAGAGAGAGGAAGGGTTAAGGGAGAGAGAAACACAAATTTTTTGTTTCACTTATTTAGGCATTTATTGGTTGATTTTTGTATATGTCCTGACTGGAGATTGAATCTGAAACTTTGGCATATTGTGGTGACGTTCTAACCAACTGAGCCACCCAGCTAGGGCCTACCTTGCTTTTCTTAAAAGCTGAAGTGACTAAATAATAATCCTTTTATGATTCAACAGTATTATTTATTAGAAAAAAAGGCAGTAAATACTTTTTTAGGAGTTTTGTAAATGGTGTGGTTTTCCATCAACTTATGTTACTATAAGATTAATGAAGTAACCAATTGTTAGAAGGAAACAAACATAATGTGAGTTGCTTTTATAATCAACAAAAAACAAAGGTAATGAAAAGATTTTTTTCAATTTTTGGTAATACCAGGCCTAATTTAAATTAAAAATATTTAATTCTGTAGATAAGCATAAGAAATTAAAGTTCATACTCTATTAAGTAGTCTATAGTAATTATGAAATTTTTACAGAAGACTTAGTACAATAACATACAGCTGGAAAAAATCTGTTGCATCACATTTGATTAGAAAATGAAAAGATATGCCAGAATACCTTCATGAAACAAATTTTATCTCTACATATAAAAATATATCTACAGTAAAATTTAAAATTTTTATCACACTTGAGAGAACAAGAGACAACGAAATCAAATATACTTCTACAGCTGTTCTTTAGGTTGCAATTTAACAAATTGTGTACTTTTGCATGGATTTTTAATGTTCAATGCCCTTTGTTGGATTTGTTTAAATGAGAATTTACCATGCTGCTCTTATTATAATCTACACCTATCTTTAAATCATAAGCTATAGTCGAGAAGAAACTGTAGCCTACTGTAAGGCTATAGCCTGACTGTAAGGCTATAACTTAACTGTAAGTCAATAACCTGAAAACCTAAGATGATATGAATGTCTTCTGGGATCCCCTGATGTTGTCACTAGTCTCACTATCACAGGTTGGAAACCAATCTGCTAAGGACCTGCTAACACTATCAAACCAATTGTTTTGAAAGAAGTATTTATTTTCTCAAATACAAACTTTATTTGAGACAAAATAACATAAAATAAGGTAATAAGCTTTTGACAAGTATGCCAACCCCAGAGTAAAATCAAAATGCAACAAAATAGCATGTACACTAAAAACTGACAAACTCCCAAGCAAACCAAAGTGATTGCAATTTTCCTTAATCAGAAGGACCCGCTGAAAAAGCATGGAGGTAGTCACAACGAAATGCCTACCAGCTAAAGCAGCATCCTCTTCACTTTCTGAGCCATACTGAAGTGCCATGGTAATTGCTGATAAACGACCCCCTTGGACTGCTCTTTTATTACTATAAAGAAAAATAAACAATTAGAAGACAAGGAAAGATATTACAATAACTTGGTTAGTTTATAGGAAATAGGAACTGATAACAAAGCATTCAAAGAAAAAGAATTTGTATTCAACTACTTCAATTTATCGTTGTATTTTTATATTCCCCATAATCAAATTTCTCCAGTGCCAATTTTTTCTCTTAGAAAACAGGGAGTGGTGTTAGAAAGCCTAAAGTAGGAATTTGTTTTCAATATAAATACAACACTGCTCCCTTATTTCATGAAAAATAAAGATTCATTCCTAATTACTAGTTAATTCTCTTTTTAGATGCTCATATTTGACACTGAACACAAATTTCATTATGAGCACAAAATGTTTTAGATTTTACCACATGTTTTACTGATAATATTAAAACATACCCAACAAACAACTTCACTTAAGCATTTCCTAAGAGGTGAGCTGAGGTCAGAGCTACTATAGTACCTCACCTTTTATTCTTTATTGATTTTAGAGAGGAGAGGGGAGGGAGGGAGACAGACAGACAGACAGACAGAAACATAGACAGACAGACAAACATTGTCTTGTTCCACTTATTTATGCACTCATTTCTTGACTCTTGCATGGGCCCTGACCAGGAATCGAAAACGCAACCATGGTGTATTGGGACAATGCTCTAACCAACTGAGCTACCAGCCAGGACAGTACTTCAAGCTTGTAAATAAGGTATTTGATAACAAAGTCTCATAATAACCCAAATATACACAAAAATATTACTTCAAGATAACCATCAAGCAAACGCTAGTATGTCTATCCTCATAAACACTGGTCATCTCTCTGACTAAACACACTCATTCTCTCTCACCGGTAATACTTGCTAGTGGGATTTCTCTCTTCACCAAGGCTTCCTTTACTGTGCGTGGAACCTGTCAGCCTGGCTGCTGTCAAATTTGATGAAGTCCTATCCAGAGATAAGATAAAAAAAACTTCAGAAAATTGACAGCTAAAATCAAAATACTGGGGAAACAACCATTTTCTTCTTTTTTTCTAAACAGAAATGCACAAATATTTCTGTGCAGTAGGCTTTGCTCCAAAACCTGGAGAATGGACCACAGCTGGTAGAGCTTATGGTCACTAAAGCAAATGTCAGGGTCAGAAGAAACTTTGAAAGTAGTCACTCAACATTTCCTGATCAACAGAATTCCAGAAGTAAGATTTGTTGAAAGTCATAGCCCAAGCACAAGAAAAAGCCAGGATAAGATTTTAGATCTTCTGACACCTGGCTAAATACTCTTGTAAATATAAACATATACTACTATATATGATATACAAATACCATAAAATTACCCGTGCTATATATAGTATACATTATATGTGTAACATATTATGTATAAATACCACTATATTATAATATATATATATAGAGCAGTAAGAGCATATAGTGACAATAAGTCTTAAAAAGTTGTTTCTGTTTAAAATAAAGCCATTCAGCTGCAATGAAGGTTCTGGGTAAGAATCCTCCCTACTTTCTTCAGAATCACATTATCAACTGTAAATATAATCTTGAAATGCAAAAGATTTCTTGTTTTCCACTGTAAAGATTTCACTAGCTAGAAAATTTGGCACATAATAAAAGCAAAAAGATTTTAGACATTTTTAAACCTACCTTATTCGAAGGCTTGACCTAGCCATTTCATGTTCAATTTCTGCCTTTTTCATATAAAATATTTTTTTAATAGAATTTGCATCCTGTCAAGACAAAATTACTTGGCTTACAAAAAGTATAGAAAAAAAAGGACAGTTTAAAATGCTCTCAATCATGCACTGGACACTTTCTATGACACTTCTTCCATCTGGAATAGCATTTTGTTTAATAGCCACAAAGCTGCATCCTCTAACCTTTCCACAAGCTTCCAAAACATCTTCATAATTAAATGTAAATTAAGAAGCCTCCTAGCTCTTTCACAATTAGTCAAGTAACAGAGACAAAAACCTAGTGATGAACAAGGAAAAACAGTGGTGAAAATAGAACGAACTCTGTGTACACTGGCCTAAACGTTGAAACAAATATGTACTTCTAAGATTAAAGACTGCAAGTAAACACACAATTAATGTACTCACTTAAATTACCTGCCTAGTAATATATCAAACCTGAAGTTTTCCTTCTCTCTATAATTTAGTTTACAGAAAATAATCACACCAAAAAGCGAGGTTCTTAGCTCTATCAACAATTGGTACAACACTATGTCTTATTAAGGACTAAGAATGCAAGGACTTCATAGTTCAGTCCTGTTCTCACTCAATGTTTCTTAAAAGATGAAAAATAAATGTTCAAATTATCAATCAAAAGCAACTGTATTTGAATCAACATTCTGAAAATCTAAATATTATACTCTCAAAAGATTTTCTGAACATCCTGTGCTAAATTCCCAATGATACACAAGCGGGACGCGCCCCCCCCCCCCCCCCCACCGGCCAAAAGCCAGATTTATCTTCTGGAGGGCAGGCCCATTGTAGTACATGCTTTCCCAGCTAGGTCAGTGTTCTAAGAACCCATCTGTATCAGTTTACCAGCTGGCATTGTTGTGAGAGGCTGCTTTTGGCTTTAGTGAAATATTTTTCAAAGCACGTGCCCATTTCCTGATAGGTGATTTACAAGTGCACCTGCCCACACTGCCTGAGTGTTTAGCAGTTTTTGACCAAACAAGGCAAGACCTCCATGCCCCTCCCTTCCTATTCACCCAATCTCACCCCAAGCACCTCATTTTTGTTTCCCCAGATGAAAAAATCCTCAAAGGGAAATGTTTTGCCAATGTGGAATATGTGAAACCAAAAAATGGCATAAACTGTAAAAGGCATGAAAATCGACGGTTTAAAAACTGTTCTGAGCAGTGGAAAAAACCATCTCAATATGTGTACTGCATCAAATGAGGTATATGAGGTCTGTCCGGAAAATGTCCGACCATTATTAATGTAACAAGAACAGTTTACACAACATCGCTGTAACCTAGCAGCCAAGGACTGGACTGGAATGCATATGTGTGAACAATTACAATGCCACTGTACTTGTCAGTGGGGGCAGTAGACGCTGTTGAGTGAGCATGTGTACTGTGGAGCCCTCACATTCAAAATGACTGAGCAAGTAGAGCAACAAATCTGCATCATATTTTGTGTTGAGCTTGAACATTCCTCCAGAAACTATTCAGATGATTTGGAAGACCACAGGTATGGGCAACTGGTGCTTGGTAGCTTCATCACAACAATGCATCTACTCACACATTATGTCTTGTTCAATTTTTGGCAAAACATCAAATCACCCAGTTGACTCAGCCCTTCTATAGACCAGATTTGGTGTCCTGAGACTTCTGACTTTTCCTAAAACTAAAATCCCCTTTCAAAAAGAGAGATTTCAGACCATAGGTGAGATTCAGGAAGATATGGCGGGGCAGCTGATAACAACTGGGAGAAGTGTGTGAGGTCCCAAGGTGCCTACTTTGTACGGGACTGAGGTGTCATTGTCCTATGCACAGTTTCTTGTATCCTGTATCTTCCATAAATATCTCTACTTTTCATATTACACGGGTGGATATCTTCTGGACAGACCTCGTATTATTAATTCAAGAAATTTCTACAAACAACTGTTCATAACAGGACTATAAAACTTCTATGAAGGGAACTGCAAAGTAATGAAATAGTCATTTTACATTGTGCATTATACTACATAGATTGCTTTTTATATTTATGAGGTTTAAATGCAGGGAACTAAATCAATATTATACTAAAAAGTGGATGAAAAACAAACCTTTTCTGGCATAAAGATATACGTATAGATGAATGGAATAGAACTAAATCCAGAAAAAAAACCCATACCAACTCAATGGGGAAAGAGTACTCTTTTCAACGTAAGATGCAAGGATAAATGAATATCCCTTGTAAAAGAATAAATGTGAACTCCTACCTCGTGTTTCAAAAATTAATTAAAATTGCATTAAAGACCTAAGTGTAAAAGCTAAAACTATAAAATTTTTAGAAGTTCATCTTTGTGGTCTTGGATGGAATAATGCTTTCTATTTTTCTTTTTTATCCCAGACCAACTTAAGTTTTTTCCTCAGTATTATTTTGTATTAGTTTCAGGTGTACAGCATAGTGGTTAGACAATCATATATTTTACAAAGTACTCCCCCTGATATTTCCAGGAACCACATATAGTTATTACAATACTGGTAATGATTTCTTCATAGGACACTAAAAACACAATTAACAAAAGAAAAAAACGACAAACTGGACTTACCAAAATTTAAAATGTTTTTGCGTCAAAGGACACTATCATAAAAGTGAAAAGACAATCCATTCAATGGGAGAAAATGTTTGTAAATCATATACTGGTGACTAGTCCAGACTAACTAAAAAATTCTAAGAATGCAACAATAAAAACATCGGTAACTCAATTAAAAATGGGCTAAGGACCAGAGCATACATTTTTTTCAAAGATACATGAATGGCACATGAAAAGACGTTCATGTCACCAATCATTAGGGAAATGCTAATCAAAACCACAATGAGACACTACTTCACACCCACTAGGATGGGTATAATAAAAAAACAAAAATGGGAAAAAAATGGGGTGTTGAGGAATTGCACTTCCATGTTGCTGGTGGGGATGTAAAATGGTGCAGCTGCTTTGGAAAATAGTGGTTCCTCCTATAGTTAACACGTGGCTCAGCAATTCCATTTCTAAGTATGTTAATAACCATGAAAAATAAAACATATCCCCATAAAAAATTATACATGAATGTTCATAGCAGCATTATTTATAATAGCCAAAAGAGTAGAAATAACTCAAATGTCCAGCAACTGATGAATGGGTAAATAAAACATGGCATACACATAGAACATTATTCAACAATGAAAAGAATGAGGCACTTAAAATGCTACAACATGTATACCTTGAAAATATTATCATAAGTAAAAGAAGAGAGTCACAAAGGACCACATATTATGATTTCATTTATATGCAGTGTCCAGAATAGGAAAACTTTCAGACACATAAAGTAGATTGGTGGTTGCCTAGGGTTGGGAAGTTGCGGGGAAACAAAGATTGACCGCTAACTCACTGTGGTGATGACTGCACATCTCTGTGAATATACTAAAAACCATTAAATTGTATTTTTCAGCTGAAATGTACAGTATATGACTTTCATCTCAATAAAGTTGTTATATAAAAATTAAGGTATCTACTCTTACCAACAAAAACAACAATAATAAAGAAACTAACCTTGAATACTTGAGAACCAGGTTCATTATAAGTTTTGGCATTTTTTGCTAGGAGATCTATATCTTTGGCCATTGCATGAATACTCTTGTAGCTTCCATTCTATAGTAAACAACAAAATACACAGGTTCCTCTTATTGAAAGTTAATCAGTATGACCTTTAAAAAAAAAAGAACTCCACATATTTTTGAATCGTTACCATGTTCCAAGACTTTATTGGAAAGTACATTTGAACAACATGTAAAGTCATCTTCTCTTTATAATCTATTAATATTGTCCATTTACGAACAAATTTTTGAGGTAAATAATAAAGTCAGAGCTAAATTATTCTCATGAAAACAACTTACAATTATCAAATAAGGTAAAAGTTGTTTTACCTAGCAAACACCTAGTGTCTATTCTGGTACCAACCACTGTTCTAAGTGCTTCGTTAATACTAATTCACTAAGTTGGACTTAATAGTGTGAAGTAAAACTTCTCTAGTTTCAAGGATCACTTCAAATAAAATAAAAGGCCAGTTTAGCACAGAGGTTAGTATTTTGTGAGTAACCATATCTTAAATCTTATTCAATCCAAAATAACCATGGAGACTCATAGTTGCCTCAATTTACATAGGAAAGGAAGGAGGGAGACTCTAGTCAAAAGGTACACATGAGAGCCACGGCAGGTGTGGCTCAGAGGACTGGGTGCAGTTCCATAAAGTGAAAGGTTGCAGGTTTGATTCCTGGTAAGGGCATATACTGGGTTGAGGCTTTGGTCTCTGGTCAGGATGGGTACAAGAGGCAACCAATTGATGTTTCTCTCTCTTTCTCCCTCCCTTCCCCTATATAAAAATAGATAAACAAAATCTTTAAAAAAACAAACAAAAGATACACTTGAGAAGGAGACAGAAATGAACAGACACGTTCTAGAGAGACTAAGAAAACCAAGTGCAGGAAAATTGGAGGGTTGGAGGGTAAGGAAAGGTAGAATCATGAGCACAGGCTGCATAGGTAGGGTAGGGAAAATGAGGCAGAGTCTAGAGAGCCAGGGAAAGCAGGGGAGCTGGTTATTTCCATGTAGGACCCAACATCTGAGCATCCTTTGTGGGGGAGAGGGGGAATCCCAGCACAGGTGATAGGGAAGGACCTACCTTACACAAAAGAGGGTACAAATAGGAAGAGGATAGCTTTGCCAGCAGCCTGGCAGCCAAGGCAAGGGGAAATAATTCATGCTTGAGTATTGAGGGACTAAAGACAACAGCAAGGGAATGGAAGGAATGCATTCCTAACTCCTAGAGGAGAGTGGAATCTAGAAGTGGAGCAGCGGGTGTCCAGGGCCCACAGTAGCAGATGACAGTGGAAACAGCAATGACACCACAAAGAGACTGTATATGACCTCAGCTGTGCCACAGTGGCCCTGAGTTCTATTTCCTATAGTTCTCCCACCTTCCTTCTCAATGGTTCCATGAGCTATTCAATGCTCTTTTCAAGGATTCCCTTCCCGCTTAAATTAGTCAGAGTTGGTTGGTTACTGGTGAACTGGTAACAAGGAGCTGTGACTCGCATCAGCAGGCATTAGAAAACTACTGACAAAAAAAGAAAACTAACGACAAGTCTCTGGGTAGTGGAATAACAGGAAGAAAGCTAGGGTCAGGAAGCAATACACAGAAAGGACTAGAGAGTCTCATCAGAGGAGGAGGAAAGACTACAATAATCATTCAGACAGAAGAGGACAAGGATCTTGATAAGTGTAATGGTGAAAGGAATAGCCTTCTCAGGGGCTTTCAAAAGGGAAAAAAGACAAGATAAGGTGAGAGGTCACAGAGAGAAGACTGGGGTTGAGGTAAGGGCATTTAAAGGTCCAATATGGTTTTCAGAATTATGAAAACACCTATCCCTTAGATAGACGTCAGGAATGCCAGGAATTTAGGTTCTGGGAGACTAAGTCACTCCCAGCAGCACCTACTGAGTTGCCTGAACAAAACAGGTAATACATTAGTGAATCTGTACTGTAAAATCAGTGTAAATGTTACTACGGTTCCAGTTGTCAGTCTTTCCTACTCTGTCAGAGGTTAAAGCCAAGGAAGTTTCTCCCCCCTGGCAAACCACTGTGCTTTCAGGCTCATTTCTCAATGAGACTATGTAACATAGTATTTTCCTTTTTGCTTTATCTGCTAGGAGCTCCAAACACTCCTTTCCTTGGGAGAATCAGTCATTCACACTGACCAAAGCCACATCCCATAGGTGCTCTGGAAGATATTTCACATACCTTATCACCAACTTCTACAACTCTGTGAAGCAGTAATACTACACTCAGTGTACCACAGAGGAAACAGGGAGGTCTCCTGACCAAACTGAAATAGGCTAATAAGAAGCAGAGCTGGGAAAATAGCCCATACCAGTCCAAATTATAAAAACTAGATTTTTGGTATAATTTAGCTCATTCTTCCTATACCTTCCTTAGCCTCTGATCATCAAAATTTAACTCTTGAGAGAAAACAAGATAGCAGAGGAATGAGTGGAAGTCACACTGACCTACTCCGAGGACCAACCTGGAATTACAACTAAATTGTGGAAAATCACCTGGAACAAACAACTGAACAATAGCGAGAGAGGAGCCTTGTAACCTCGGAGACGAAAGAATCGGCTTTAGCGCAATCTAACTGGTAAGGAGTGTGGTACAGACCTGAGAAGGCGGGCAGGGCACCCACAGGCAGCAGCACCATAAGGATACAGAAATGGCCAGTTGGATCCCTTCAGAAGAGTGAGGTCTAAACCAAAAGTGGGGATCTCTAGCCCACAGCACCAGAGCCCAAAAAGTACACAGAAAACAGCCAGCTGCGAAAAGTGGCAGGGTTGCTCTCTGCCAGAGACAGGCGGCTGGAGACACAGTCTTCTAAAGGGCCAACACCAAATTCTTATTTGCAGCCACTTACTGTGGTCTCTGGCAAAAGTGGGGGCAGAGTGGGCTAGGGACACCTGAGTAGAGACTAGGGAAGGAGACTTTGGGAAGAGAACTGAGAGAGTAGCCAGCAGGATATCGGTGCTGGCTGATTCCCCATGCAGCAGCAGCCATCTTCCTGGGGCACAGGCCACTCCCCCTAAGTGGCACCAGCGACAAAGGACCCAATAGCCTCACTCCTGGGTGGGATTCCACCCCACCCTACGCTGTCCAAACCACCTGCTGAGTGCAGAGTGGCAGCCACAGATAATAGATCCCTGGCTAAGGAGGGCACAGAGAGGTCTGGCGACACTCGAGGAGAGACTGGGGATGGAGGCTTTGGGGAGAGAACAGAGAGAGCAGCCGGTGGGATTCCAGTGCAGGCTCCTCCCCCATACGCACAAGCATGAAAGGACCCAATAACCCCGCCCCCAAGTGGGACTCCATCCAGCCCTGAGCTATGTAAGGTGCCCTGCTGAGGGCAGAGTGAATATATTGAAAGCTGGAGGAGACAGCCACAAACAGTAGATTCCTGGAAATCTCGAACAGACTGCCTAAGGTTAGACAGGGTCAACATCTGACATCATCAGAGGCAGATCCAGAAGGTAAAAACAGTGGTCTCCAACCACAGAAATTCACACCACAAAGTCAGGAAATCAAGACAGATCAACTTAAGAAGCAGAAGCAAAAGAGAAGAATCTCACAAATAATGGGAAGACAAAGAAATATGCCCCTCTTGAAGGGAAAGGAGGAATCCCCACAAATAGAACTAAATGAAATGGAGGCAAGTAAACTATCAGATATTGAGTTCCAAACAACGGTTCTAAGGAAACTCAGTGAGCTCAGTGAGCTCAGAGAGAATTACCAAAAACTACAGGGAAACTACGAGGAACTTACGGCAAACTATATCAGCATGAAAAAGGACATAGAAACTATCAATAAGAGACAAGTAGAAATGAAGAATACAATTTCTCAGTTGAAGAACACAGTAGAAGGAATCAAAAGCAGGCTAGATAAAGCTGAGGACCGAATCAGCAACCTGGAGGATAAGGTAGGAAAAAGTTCCCAGAAAGAGCAGGAAAATGAAAAAAAACTCAAAAAGAATGAAGAGGCATTGAGGGAAATGCAGGACAATGTGAAACATAATAATATCCGTATAATAGGGATACCAGAAGGAAAAGAGGAGGAGCAAGGGATCGAGAACCTGTCTGAAAAAGTCATGATGAAAAACTTCCCTAATTGGAGGAGAGAAAAAGTCACACAAGTCCAGGAAGCACAGAGGGTCCCATGCAAGAGGAACTCAATGAGGCCCACTCTGAGACACATCATAATTAAAATGGCAAAATGCAAAAACAGAGAATCCTAAAGCAAGCAAGGGAGAAACAGGTAGTAACATATAAGGGAGCCCCGATACGGCTAGCATCTAACTTCTCAACAGAAACACTATTAGCCAGAAGGGAATGGCAGGAAATATTCCAAGTCATGAAAAGCAAACGCCTGCAACCAAGAATGCTCTACCCAGCAAGGCTCTCAATTCACATGGAAGGAGAAATAAGGAGTTTCTCAGACAAAAGGCAGCTAAAAGAATACACCTCCACCAAACCAGCACTGCAAAATATGCTAAAAGGACTGCTTGAAGATGAAGAAAAAGTTTCTATAAATACCTAGTTCCTTTCAGAGTTGCCAATACTTGATATTACCAATATTTTTAATAATCATTAATCTGATTGTGACAATGATGTTAATTGTTCCTTTACTATTTGTTGAAACTAAACCTGTTTTAGTATATTTCTTGTCTATTTCTATTTTTTTTTTTTTAAAGGCTTTAAATGACTTTTTGGTATTCTTTATCCATCTATTGATTAAAGGTTTGTATAACTTTTTTCCCTAAAAAACAAACAAAAAAAAAACTATTAACCATTTTTTGGATGTGTTGCAAATACTTTTCTATTCTATTCCTTGTCCTTTAACTTTTTTTATATGTATATTATTATATAATTAAATGTTTAATATAGTCATATTGTCAATATTTACTTTATAGCTTCTGGGTTTGAATATTTTATACTTACTGCATTCAAATCCAGAAGTTTGAATGCAGTAAGTATAGTTTCCTGCAGTAAGTATAGTTTCCAGTAAGTTATGGAAAATATTAGTTTTATTTTCTTCTAAAACGCCTTAGAGTCTACATATTGATTTTTAACTCACCTGGATATTTCTTGTATTATGTGTGAAATAGGGCTCTACATTTGTTTTAATTCAAGTAATAGTGGTCTGTGCACCTTATTTGTTGAATGAGCCTTATTTTACCCACTGATTTGAAATATCAGTTTAATCATATATTGTTAGACAGATATATATGTTTTTCTCTAGAATGTTTATTATATTTCATTGATCTACTTGATAATTTCTGTGCTGGTGTCATGTTTGTTTAATTTCTGAGACTTTACAATGGTTTTAAATTTTTTAAATATTTTATAATTAACTTTGACATTTATAAATAAATAAATAAAATCAGCATTTAAGAAAGAAATAGAGAGAGAGAGATGGAACTCCTACCTTTTGTGACAACATGGATGGAACTGGAGAATATTAAGCTAAGTGAAATAAGCCAGTTGATGAAAGACAAATACCGTATGATCTCACCTCTAAGTGGACTCTATTCAACAAAATAAACTAATGAACAAAATAAACCACAGGTACAGAAACATGGAGCAGACTGAAAGTGACCAGAGGGGATGGGGAAAGAGGACAATGGTGGAAAGAAAGGGAAGGGACTAGACAAAGAACATGTATGAATGACCCATGGACATGGACAATAGAGTGGGAATTGACTGTGGGAGTGGGGGGTCGGGGTGGGATGGGTGGAGGGGGGTAAAGGGGGAAAAATTGAGACAACTATAATAGAATAAATATGATTTATAAATTTAAAATAAATAAATAAAAAGGAAAAATCCAAAATTTAACTCTCATTCATTCTCATTTGTTCAATTAATCATTATCGAGCACCTTGCTACCCTGTGGAGAGAAGGAACAGTGTAGGGGTTGAGAGCACAGACTCTGAAGTCAGACTTCCTGAGTTCAAATCTTACCTCTTCTCCTTACTAGCTGATGACTTGGGCAAATGACTTACCATCTGTTTCAATTGCTCATCTCTAAAATGGGAATAATAGTATCTACCTCACAGAGTTGTAATAATTAATTAATATATATAATATAAAACACATAAAACAGAGCAGGCACCTAGCAATCCCAGGTGCCTGTTACTGCTGGAGATACACAAAGGGGGGGCACTCAAAGAGAAGAAAGTCTCTGACCTAATACTCTAACAATCTGTTATAGGTAATTTTTATTTTGAGATATCCTAAAACTATTTGGAAGCAGATAAAAATAAGCAACAAAGCCTTTACTGCCAATGTACTTTTCACAATGAAAAATGTCCACAATCAATGTTTTTTAATTATTGTCCGAAGAGCAAGATATAATATGCCGATGAAGTTTACTTTCTTCCCTACAGAAAAACATGCAAAAAGAATGCTATGCTGCTGCCTCCAAAGCTATAATCAGTGACTCCACTTTACTTGCTTACATTATGTTAATGTAATCACCCCTTACAGAGACATCTGCTCCCTTTTCTAAAAGCCCTTAAGAAAGGACATAGGCCAATCTACCGTAAACCACTATGATCGCATATGGTCATCTTCATACCTGTATCCTCTGGGCAATGGTCTTGAGATCTATAGGTTCCTTAATTATTGCATAATAGTCTGGATATTGCTGAAAGACAAAAAGCCAGCTAATGAGAAACAAGCAAGAACACTGACACTGACAAACAACTGAGCAGCTCTGTGAGATTCAAAATTAAAGACACAGCTGTACAACATATTGTTTGCTGTATTTAAAGCAGAAAGAATTTGGGTTTAGCTTCATAAACTACCCAATAGCATACTGTACAAGTTTACAGTTAGTACTGATTAGGTAAATATCATTATACAACTAATACACCACCGCTTGATGTTTTAAAAAATTCTAAATTCACAGAATCACAAATTAAAGGTCCTAAGATATAGATAGATGAGTCCATACTGATACCATGAGTCCATATAGATAGATAGATAGATAGATAGATAGATAGATAGATACACCTAGAAATGAAGTAGAGGAATGTTTTTTGAAGGGTTTATTATAGGTTCTCTTAATTTTGCAATCTAACTAATATAATTATAGCTTATTTCACATAAAATTCTCAGGGATCTATAAGAAGTTATGTTGCAATATTTGTTAAGTTTCATGTTTAACTTAATGCTTACACATTTTAAATGAAACTATGTTTAAGAAACAAAGTTCTGTTTTCTTATAAAGTATTTGCTTATCACAATATTTAAAGTTACACACATTAGAGGAACGTCCTTGAAGGGTTTCACAAAGGCTAGAGTGCATGCACTGCCCTGAGCTTCTCCTACAGGTTATGTTCCTTTGATGAAATAATTAAAATTGGCCAAAAAAGTTGGGAGATCTCTCAGGTGGAAGAGGTGTCAGAGGCAGTCAGATTGTACCCTCCAGGCTCTTCATAGCTGTTTAAATCATGGAACCCAAACAGCGATGAGGAAAAGCAGAAGGACACAGCTTTCACTCAATTAACTAGGCTGAAGGGATGATCTCAGTGATGTTTCACCTTATATGATCCCTCAGCTTACTCTCTATTTTCTTAACCTTACTACTCCTTTGTTTGCTTGGATGAAACCCCTTTCCTGTCCACTCTCTTCAAATTCTACTTCTGAAATAGTGTAGAAGACATATTATGGCACAGCCACCCAAGCTACACACAATGTAATCTAGGCTACTGGTCCACAGAGTCCCAACCCACCACTCCCATTTAGCCAGTCCCACTTGGGAGGGATTTATAAAGGAAAGGCAAAAACTGTCCTCCCCTCCTTGTCATCTTTTGAATCATTACACCCTCAGGGACCACTGGGTACCTGCTTTCCCCAACCAATAGCTGCTGCATGATGTCCCAGAAAGCTTTCCCAGAATGGGGGAACTAGGTATAATTGGGTGGGTCAAAAAGTTCATTTGTTTTTGATAGTGTCTTATCAACGTGCATTTTTTAAAAACTTATCAAAATTGGTGAATTTCTGTGTAGCCACTTTAATATTGAAGGTGAAAGAAAGTAACATTTTCAGCATATTACTATTTCAAGAAAGGTAAAAACGTAACAAACACACAAAAAAGATTTGTGTAATATATGGAGAAAATGCTGTGATTGACTGAATATGTCAAAAGTGGTTTGCGAAGTTTCATGCTGGAGGTTTCTCACTGGATGATCCTCCACCACCAGGTAGACCATTAAAGTTGATAGTGATCAAATTGAGACATTAATTGAGATCAGTGTTATACCACGCAGGAGACAGCTAACATACTCAAAATATCCAAATCAATAAAGTTATTGGTGAAAATGAAAAATGTTTTCTTTTATGGAAAAAATTAAACAGACTCTTTGGGCAGCATGATAGTATTTTTATTGCTCCAAATCACCCTTGGTGGTTTGACTAATACTGATTACCTCCTGCAAAGTAATAATAAACCTTGAGTAAAGATTGTACTTGTTTCTCACAATTTTTTTATTTTAGTAAAATATACCTAAGATTTACTATCTAATAATTTTAAGTATACAGTTCAGTTATGGTGCACTCATCACCATCATCCACCTCTAGAACTTTTCATCTTCCCAAACTGAACATCCATACCCATTAAATAATAACTCACCACTTTACCCCTCCTGCCAGACTCTGGAAATTGCGGTTCTACTTTCTATCTCTATGAATTTGACTACCCTAAATAACTCTTCTATGAAGAATCGTACAATATTTGTCCTTTTGTGTGTGGCCTATTCACTTACCAAAATGCATTTTAGGGTTCTTTCTTATTTTAGCACATACCAGAATTTCATTTAAAACTTTTAAAGGCCAAATAATACTCCATAGTGTGTACATACCACATTTAATTTATCCATTCATCTGTTGAGGGATACTTGGGCTTCTTCCATGTTTTAGCTATAATGAATAATACTGCTATGAACATAGGTGTTCAAATACCTCTTTGAAACTCTGCTTTCACTCCTTTTAGGTATATACCCAAAATACAATTTCTGGCTTATATGGTAATTCTATGTTTTAATTTTTTTCTGAAGAATCGTCTTACTTTTCCTCTTTTCTTGAAATTTTAAACTTATGTCCAATATAAGCATTACAGTTTTCTAATCAGATCCACACTTAGGACAGTCATGGTTATTGGTTATATATGCTTTATATCTAATGTAATAACTGTCCTATAACTACTCAACACATACCTTTATAACTAGTCTTTTTCTTTTTTCTCTTTGTCTTTAATATTTGCCATTTTAATTATGACATGTCTTGGAGTGGGCCTCACTGGGTTCCTCTGTGCTTTCTGGACTTGTGTGACAAGTTTTTCTCTTCTCAACTTAGGGAAGTTTTCCATCATGACTTTTTCAAATAGGTTCTCTATCCCTTGCTCCTCCTCTTCTCCTTCTGGTATCCCTATTATACGGATATTATTATGTTTCACATTGTCCTGCATTTCCCTCAATGCCTCTTCATTCTTATTGAGTCTTTTTTCATTTTCCTGCTCTTTCTGGGAGCTTTTTTCCTACCTTATCCTCCAGGTTGCTGATTCGGTCCTCAGCTTTATCTAGCCTGCTTTTGATTCCTTCTACTGTGTTCTTCAACTGAGAAATTGTATTCTTCATTTCCACTTGTCTCTTATTGATAGTTTCTATGTCCTTTTTCATGCTGATATAGTTTGCAGTAAGTTCCTCGTAGTTTCCCTGTAGTTTTTGGTAATTCTCTCTGAGCTCACTGAGTTTCCTTAGAACCGCTGTTTGGAACTCAGTGTCTAATAGTTTATTTGCCTCTACTTCATTTAGTTCTCTTCGTTGGGATGTCTCCTTTCCCTTTGACTGGGGGGTGTCTCTGTCTTCCCATTATTTGTGAGACCCTTTTTTGCTTCTGCTTCTTAAATTGATCTGTCTTGATTTCCTGACTTTGTGGTGTGAACTTCTATGGTAGGAGACTGCTGTTTTTTCTTTCTGGATTTGCCTCTGATGATGTCAGATGTTGACCCTGTCTAACCTTAGGCAGTCTGTTCAAGACTTCCAGGAATCTACTGTTTGTGGCTGTCTCCTTCAGCTGTTCTAGTCTTGTTGATGACTAGTGGGGAAAACTGCATGCCATTTTTCAGTCAACAAGCACTTTTTGTACATCTATGGTATGCTGGGTTCCAACTACATGATAGGGACACAAAAGAAAATATGGCTTTGTGCTTATCCTTAAGAAATTCAGGGTCTAGGGAAGGAGGTAGATACAAAAGTAAATGATCACAATGGAAATACGCACTTTCAGTGGGGTACTTTTAAAAGTGGAAATTTTTGTCATTCCACAGGCTCATATGTTAAGGTGTGAAGTCAGAGGGACCCTAACACTTTTAGAGGGTTTTACCTGTCTAGAAAACCTCTTCCTCTTTGGGGTAGAAATGTACCTATTAGGTCTGTTTCTCTTCATCACTAGATGATTAAGGAGAACTAAGAGAGGAAGACCTCATATATCTTCTTCTCATTCTGTCTCCTGAGCAAAGACAATGTTTCTTGTCTTTTAAAAATAAAAGGTTTAGTTTAGCTGTTTATTTTATCATTTAGAATTACCCATCTTAGAAACAACCCATAAGTCCATCAACAGATGAACAGATAAACACAATGTGGTATAAACAAACTGTACATACAATGCACAATAAAGTTATATTTTAATGGGTACAGAGTTATGGTTTAGGAAGGTGAAAAGTTCTGAAGACAGATGGTGGTAATGGTTGCACAATCATATGAAGGTACCTAATACCACTGAACTGTACACTTAAAATGGTTAAATAATCATCATGTTATGTATATTTTCTAACAATAAAAAAAAGCAAAAAGAATTATCAATCAAAAAACAAAAACTCTTCAAAACCCACAATCTTCTGGCCAAGTAAAATGATGAAACATATCTTATGTGTGTGCTGCTGAGACCGCAAGGAGGATCTCTTGGCTACTTCCAATGTCTTCCATTAACTGTACCGTATTTAGTAAGAGTAAAATTTTTGAAGTACTTAAAAAAAAAAAACCAACCACCAGCACACTTTAATTCATCTGTCTTTAATTGTATCACTTACCACTTTAGAAGGCAGTTTCTGAAATAGTTCGCTAATGAGATGTCCTGACGGATTTGTGGCTACAACTATGGCTTCAAGAAGCTGCTCCAGGATCTCCTTCAAGTAACTTGGAGAAGACTGGGAGGAGGGGATTGGGAGCAAGAAGAGAGGGGAGTAATGAATACTCTATGAGAGAAATTAAAAATAAATGCTGATATTAAATAGTTTCTGAAGTTTGAAAGCCAACTCAAAAGAGCAACTTTTAAACAGTACTTATTTTAAGTACAAGTTTTAAAAATACCACAGAGATGTTCTGATGCTGAATATGGTGACTGTACTCTCAGAATAGCATATGTGAAACCAATGAGGCTTCTTCTATATTTCAGTAACTAAATCCTTTGGACCAGGTCCTTTTACTAAACTCCAATCCACAGTAAACATTGCAACAGTATATGTATAACTGGTTAGAAATGCATACCTTTTTAGGGCCTGTGTAACTGACACAGGAAAATATGCCCCATGCTACCCAGACATTTCTACATCTGTTGTTCATATCTACTAAAGTCTTCATGTTCTGGTAGAATAACTGCATATATAAACTGGGAACAACATACTTTTCACTATAGGGTGCTCTGCCAGATCTAACAACAGAATTCTGATTTTGACAAAACTGAATGCAGATCAAGTCAATTGATTTGCTCTCCAGATGGCTCACTTATTCCTACCTTAGTCACTGTTCAACATGGGAAAGTATATATCCCAAAGAGAACCTGGCCAGTTTCTACAGTGAGCAATGGGATGTCTCAGTCAAGGTTTACATTAAATGTTACTTCAAGTCCAAACCATGTTTTGTGCATATAAAATAAAGATTAATGGTTATTTCTCATTTAAATCATAAAAGCATGACTATTTTTGTCCTAACTCAACAGGTCTTTTCATTTAGTATAGTCTCAATACTAAGGTACAACATTAACTCCAGAGAGAGAGCTTTAACAAATCTCTTGGGTCCACAACATTGCCTGGCAAAAAAAAGACACATAATAAAAATTTAACATATAAGACATGTGATTAGTTGAGAGTCCCCAATCAGATAAGCATAGAGAACCAACATAACACCAATGGAAGGCAGACTAAAATATTCCTGTTTCAGTCATTTACTTCCTGGCTAAAATAATATATAGTACGACAGAGTTAGCTTCAAAAAGAGAAGAGGTATATTCTCTAACCAAGATTCCTCTCCTCCCAGTTGTACCAGTGACTTTGTGTTGCAGTTGACAAAGGGAATAGAACGTATAAATGAATTCATACAATCTATTCCCACAGTTGGGAAAACTCCAAGGACATCATTCTTAATTTAAAAATGAGAAGTTTGAAAATTTGTTCTTCCTTCTTAAGAACCTTAGGGCAGTAAGAATCTCGAGAAGTATAAATATGTATGTGCAAGATCCTTCCAATTTCCTACTGAAAGAAACACAGGCAATTCCAGAATGCAGGCAATTTTCATTTTTCAGTAGCACTTTGGAAGCCTATAATGAGGCTGAGCCCCCAATAGGTAATGAATGTTCTGTACAAGAAAGCATGGGATAAGTTGCTACTACTACATTAATATTAGAAAGTAAAATTTCAAGGAATACCTGGTTAACTGCCTTTTACCTGATTCCAATCATTTAATTTCTAGAAAGAAATTGACAAGTTCCCTGGGAACTTGATTTTAAGACTCCAAGAAGTTATGTTCTGAGAAATTCACCCACCATTTCTGTGTTGAGTTTTCAGGAAAGAAAAGCAAATGCTCTGCTTTGGGTATCTTACTATTCAGCTTCAGAAGAGAGATGTAATTTCTTTTATCATTCTTTTTCCTCTTTCCAAGCATGTGTGTTCATTCAGCAAGAATTTATCAGTACCTACAAGTCAGGCACAGTCTAGATGCCAGGAATAGATTAATAAGGTGATATCTTTTGTGGACTATAATTCTACACAGAGGAAGACAGAAAGTAAACATGTAATCTAATAAACAAGTTATTTCACCAAGTAATATAGTGGTAAAGACTGAAGCCCACAGAACAGAGTGATGTGATGATGGAAAAGGAGGAGTGTGGAGCACACAATTTAGATAGGATGGTCAAGAAAGTTCTCTCCCCGCTGACATTAAGTGATATTAGTATAATGAAAAAGAGCCAATGAGAGCAAAAGTGAAAGGAAGCAACAATGAAAAAAAACCTCAAAACCTGAGCAGGATATATGCATTAGATAAGAGCAATTCATAAAAACAACTATGCATGGAGCACACTGTCCAGGATATCCTAGGATCTCTTTAATTGCAGTGAGGCTCTCTGGCTATACTATGCCCCTTTTCCCTACCAGTTAGTTACCAACACAATTATGTAGAAAACCTACAACAGCTCAGAGGAAATCTCAGGGGCCTTGTCCACATCCCAACAGGCCTCTATCACTCATTCCAACTGCATACTTACTCCTTCAGTTACTGTGCCTTGATTGTCTTGCCCATCTTCATCATCATCTTCATCATCTGCTTCTCCTTTCTGAACAAACTCATTTCTTGTTCGAAGATACAAATCCCAGAGTTTGCAAGCAGCTTTATATTCAGGAGAATCTGGCTGTACATTATCAAAGAGAAGAGAAAAAATAACCACTTTATTATTTTATTGTAAATCAAATCCTGTTCCAGCAGAGACTGGTATTCTAAGACAACTTCAAAAAGTCTATTACACATTTTAAACTCCCTATAATTAAAAGATACAGGGGCCTCAATTTCTCTTCTCAAGAATTAAGTGCAGCCCTGACCAGTGTGGCTCAGTTGGCTGGAGTGCTGTCCCATAACTGAAGGGCTGCAAGTTTGTTCCCCAGTTTAAGCACGTACGATCCCCGATCCGGGTGTGTGTAGGGAGCAGCCAATTGGTGTTTCTTTCTCAGATCGATGTTTATCTCTTTCCCTTTCTCTCTCTAAAAAAGCAATGGAAAAGAAAAAATGTCCTCGGGTGAGGGTTAAAAAAAAACAAACAACACAAGAACTAAGTGTATGTTTTAAAGGTATTCTGAAATCATATTAATTTATCTATGCTTTATCTTATTACAGAAAGACTTATGCAGGAGAAAAATGATTTGCTAAATTAAGACTAATTATTACTAAGAAAGATAATTTAAAGAATAAGATCTGGTGCAGCCACTATGGTTAACAGTATGGAGATTCCTAAAAAAAAAAACCAAAAAAATTGATCTAACATAAGACCCAGCAATTCTACTTCTGAGTATTTACTCATGGAAAACAAAAACACTAATTCAAAAAGACATATGCATCCCTATGTTCATTTCAGCATTATTTAGAATAGTCAAGATATGGAAGCAACCTAGAAGTGTGTGTATGCATATATACAAATGGAGTATTACACAGCAGTAAAAAAAGAACATTCTGACATTTGTAACATGGCCCTAGAGGGTATTATGCTAAGCAAAATAAATCAAAGGAAAATGCTGTATGGTTTCATTTATATGTGGAATGTAAAAAAACCAAATGAACAATAACAACAAAAAAAAAAGATTCATAGAAACACAGGCCCATGGGATGGTGACCAGATGGGAGGATGGAAATATTGGGGAACGGGTAAAAAAGGTAAAGGGGAATACAGTCAGTAGTACTATAGCAAGTTTGTACAGTGATAGACAATTAATAGAATTAGTGGAGTGTTCACATTGTAAGGTACGGAGATATCACTATACTGTACACCTGAAACTAATATAATATTGTATACCAACTATACTTAAAATAAAAGATAAGGCCCAATATAAAGGATACAAGTCAAAAGGATAGAAGCTAATTATTGTTCTGATAACATATCTAAGATTTTTACAAGTATTTAAGGACGCTGGTCAAGATGGAGGCACAGCTAAAACCATAGCAAAAATTCCAACTAAAATACAAAACAACTATCACCCAGAATCACCAGAAAACTGAGCTGGATGGAAGTCTGACAACTGAGGAATTAGTTACATTCACCCATACAGGTAGGAGGGGCGGAGACACAGAGAGGCAAACAGGCAGTCCCACACCCACGTGTGGTGGCTAAAAATCAGGAGGGACACCTCAGGAACAAGGGATCCCAGCCCCACAGCAGACCACTCAGCCCAGGATTCCAGTGCCAGGAGGTAAGTCTCCATAACTTCTGGCTGTAAAACACAGTGGGGGTTGGCGCGGTGGAAGAAACTGCAGGATTCTAAGGCATCTCCTCTTATAGGGCTCACAACAGACTTAGGACATACACAGACTCTTCCTCTGGGCTCCAGCATCAGGGCAGCAGCTGGAAGGGCACCAGTGGCAAACAAGGAGAAACTGAAGTATCTGGCATCAGGGCAAAAGCCAGGGGACAGCTTCCTCCTGGACAAAACTCTAGAGACCAGGAAGCAGCACTATCTGAGCCTTTCTGAGCCTTCCCCCACACGGAGCCACAGAGCATGGACACCATATCGGGGACTCCATCAAACTTGCTCACACAGGTTGCCTCACCCTGAGGATTACCTAAGGCTGTGCCCCATCCAACTTATTGGTGTTGCTTTTCTACCATAGGCCACACTACTGATAGAGGGAATCAAAGAAGCTCTATAAAGCAGCTCTACCTAATACATAGAAAACAAACACAGGGAGGCTCCCAAAATGAGGAGACAAAGAAATACGACTCAAATGAAAGAACAGATCAAAACTCCAGAAAAAGAACTAAACAAAAATGAGAAAAGCAATCTATCAGATGCAGAGTTCAAAACACTGATTATGATGCTCAAAGAACTCACTGAGAACTTATACAGCATAAAAAACAACAGCAGAAATGAAGGTTACACTAAGTGAAATAAAGAAAAATTTACAGGTAATCAAAAGTGGAATAGATGAAGCCAAGAATCAAATTAAAGATTTGGAACAGAAGGAAAAGAAAAACCATTAAATCGGAACAGCAAGAAGGAAAAAGAATCCAAAAAACCAAGGACAGGCTATGGAGGCTCTGGGATAACTTCAAATGTACCAACACTCAAATCATAAGGGTGTCAGAGGAAAAAGACAAAGAGCAAGAAATGAAAAACTTATTTGAAACAATAATGAAAAAAACTTCCCTAATTTGGTGAAGGAAATAGATATGCAAGTCCAAGAAGCAGAGTGCCAAACAAGATGGACACAAAGAGGACCACACCAAGACACATCATAATTAAAATGCCAAAGATTAAAGATAAAGAATTTTAACAACAGCAAGAGGAAAGCTAAGGAACTACCTACAAAGGAGTTCCCATAAGACTGTCAGCTGATTTCTCAAAAGAAACTTTGTAGGCTAGAAGGGACTGGGCAAGAAATGTTCTAAGTGATGTAAAGCAAGGACCTACAGCCTAGATTACTTTATCCAGCAAAGCTATCATTTAGAAATGAAGGGCAGATAAAGTGCTTCCCAAACAAGGTAAAGCTAATGGAGTTCATCATCACCAAGCCACTGTTATATGAAATGTTACAGGGAACTATATGAGAAAAAGCTCAAAACTATGAACATTAAAATGGCAACAAATGCACAACTATCAACAAGTGAATCTAAAAAACAAACTAAGCAAACAAGCAGAACAAAAACAGAATCATAGATATGGAGATCATTTGGAGGGTTAGCAGTTGGGACGTGGAATAGGGAAGAAGTGGGAAAAGGTGCAGGGATTAAAAAGGACGAAATGATTGATACAAAACAGGCAGGGCAATGTTAAAAAGCATAGGAAATGGAGAAGCCAAAGAACTATATGTATGGCCCATGGACGTGAACTAAGAGGGGTGACTGACAGATGGAATGGGTGGTACAGGGTATGGGGGGGTCAAAGGGGTAAAAACTGGGACAATTTTAATAACATAATCAATAAAATATATTTTAAAATATTATTTAATATCTTATCTGAAGATTTCTTTTCCTAAAGTATAGTGGTGATGAACTCTAATTGAAACTTTCAAGTAAAAACAATGATCGATGCCATTTTAGAAAAACAAAGAAACCAATAAAACTTTAAAAATACACCCATATGCTGCCAATAAAGAGTAAGCAACGTTCATAAAAGCAAGATAGAGTGAAAGTGGGAACGCAGATGAGCAAGCAGAAAACTGAAACCAATGTTAACCTTGATGGCATTTGTAAGGCAAGACAAACTTGAGCTTTGCAAGGCCCTTCAAGGATGCAAGGACAGGAGATAAAAGGCAAAATTTCACCAGAAGTTGGACTCCAAAGTCCATGGCTACATTATAAGTGTAAGTTCAAAACAATTCATTTTCTGCACTGCCAAGGAATAAGAAAGACTATACACCCTAACCTGCACTCTGCTCAATCCACACCTATCTCAGTCACGGCACTGTAGGAAAAGAAGAGCTGTCATGACGTAAATCTGAGAACTCTTCAGCATGAGCTAGCCCTAAAAAGATAGGCCCGGCGCCTGGAATAAGCAACAAATCTCTTCTCTGGGTAAACCCACCGTAATCTGAGCCTCAAAGAATCTCTAGAGATAAAGTTCCAAGAAATTATAGCTCATGGTAAAAATTCATGAAACATAAGAATAAAAGAATCACAACAGAAAGCTAGCAGAAATGACAGCAAGTCATACTTGGAAATACTTCAGATATTGGAATTATCTCCCATGGAATAAAAAAATATGTTGAATACGTTTTAAGAAACTATGGGATTAAAGATATAAGCAAAGCACAGGAAACCCTAAAAAACCTACTACCAAAATATGAAAAATAGAATATTAAAATGTATAAAGTCAATAGATTGGTTTAAAAGATTTGAAAGAAAATTGGAAGAACTAAAAAGCAATACAAACATAAAAAAGAGACTATGAAAGGTTAAGGGAAATGGAGACCTAAGAGAGCTGTAACATAATTTTCAATCTGAGTTCTTTAAGTAGAAGAAAGAGAACGTGGCAAAGGCAATAAGCAGACATAATGGTTGAAAACTTAGCAGAACTGGTGAAAAACACCAATTCTAATTTATATAAAAAGATATTCATATCTAAATGAATCACAGTAATGCTACAGAATACCAAAGACAAAAAATACTAAAGATAGGCATAAATGAAAGACAGATAACCCGTAAAGACTGTTATTTATTTATGTATGTATGTATGTATGTATGTATGTATGTATTTTCTTAAAGGTTTTATTTATTTATTTTTAAGGACGGGAGAAGGAGGAAGAGACAGAAACACTGATGTGTGGGAGGAACATCGACTAGTTGCCTGTTATGCCCCCAGCTGGGGACCTGGCCCACAACCCAGGTATGTGCCCTGACCAGGAATCAAACCCGTGACCTTTAAGTTCATAGGCCAACGCTCAATCCACTAAGCAACACAAGCCAGGCATATTTATTTATTTTTAGAGAGAGAGAAAGGAAGGGAGAAAGACAGGAAGAGAGACATTGATGTGAGAGAGAACCATCAATCTCCTGAATGCTCCCTGTCCGGGGACCAATCCTGCAACCGCAGCACGTACGCTGACTGGATATTAAATGAGACTGAAAACCTTTAAAGGAACCACAATTATATTTAGAGATGACTTCTCAAGAGCAATAAAAGAACGAAGAATAAGGAAAGTAGTAAATTTGTGAGTAAAACTAAATACTGACTATATGGAACAATACTATTTTATGGGATTAAAAATGTGCCACAAAGAACTAAAATATAAAACATCAGTAGCAAAAATAGAGAGATCAGAGTTGAATTACTCTCATTCATTGTATTTAGTCAGAAGGTTTAAGATGCTGATTAAATTTGACTTTGATAATTTAGTAACAGATTATTAAACCCTCTTAGATAAGAACTAAAAGTTTATCCACAGATCTTACCACTTTCAAATTACTGAGGGAATAAGACAGAATAAATTAAAAATAAAGTGATACCAGAGCTCCGCCCAAGATGGAGGCCCTGGTAGATATACTTGGCTTCCTCACACAACCAAAAGGAAACAACCAATTTAAAAACAAAAAACAACCAGAACTGCCAGAAAATCTAATTGTATGGAAATCCAACAACCAAAGAGTTAAAGAACCACCATTCATCCAGACTTGTAAGAGGGGCAGCGATGGGCAGTGGGGGGAGGAGAGGACATGAGGCAAGGCAGCAGCTGGCTGACCGGGCAATCCCACATTTGCATTCAGATAAACCATGAGAAACAACTGGAGCATGAGATACACCGCACAACTCAGGGTTCCAGTGTGGGGGGAAAAAAAGCCTCAGAACCTCTGGCTATAAAAACTTGTAGGGGTTGTGCTGACGGGAGAAACTGCCACTCTCGTGAAAGCAGGTGAGAGCCAAGCAAGCGGCACTGTTACCTCTCTGACCCCTCCCCCGCATATAGCACCACAGCCCAGGGAAGTAGGTGTCGTCCCCCACCCGCCCCTGGGGAATACCTAAGGCTCCAGCCCCTTGCAACGTAACAGGTGCACCACGACAAAGGAATACAGCCCAAATGAAAGAGCAGATCAAAACTCCACAAAAAGAACTAAGCAATGAGGAGACAGCCAACCTATCAGATGCAGAGTTCAAAATGCTGGTAATCAGGATGCTCACAGAAATGACTGAGTACAGTCGCAAAGTAAAGAGAGAAGTGAAGGCTGTACAAAGTGAAATTAAGAAAAATATACAGGGAACCAACAGTGAAGGGAAGGAAACCAGGACTCAAATCAACTACTTGGAGCAGATAGAACAGAATGAAGAAACAAGAATTCAAAAAAATGAAGAGAGGCTTAGGAATCTCTGGGACAACTTCAAATGTCCCAACATTCGAATCATAGGGGTGTCAGAAGAAGAGGAAGAGCAAAAAATTGAAAACTTATTTGAAAAAATAATGAAGGAGAACTTCCCCAATCTGGTCAAGGAAAGAGACTTCCAGGAGATCCAGGAAGCTCAGAGAGTCCCAAAGAAGTTGGACCCAAGGGAGCACACACCAAGGCACATCATAATTACACTACCCAACATTAAAGATAAGGAGAGAATCTTCAAAGCAGCAAGAGAAAAGGAGACAGTTACCAGCAAAGGAGTTCCCATACGACTATCAGTTGATTTCTCAAAAGAAACCTCGCAGGCAAGAAGGGGCTAAAAAGAAGTATTCAAAGTCATGAAGGACAAGGACCTACATCCAAGACTACTCTACCCAGCAACACTATCATTTAGAATGGAAAAGCAGATAAAGTGCTTCCCAGGCATGGTAAAGTTAAAGGAGTTCATCATCACCAAGACCTTATTGTATGAAATGTTAAAGGGATTTATCTAAGAAAAAGAATATCAAAAACTATGAACAGCAAAATGACAACAAACTCACAACTATCAACAACGGAACCTAAAAAAAACCAAAAACTAAGTAAACAACTAGAACATGAACAGAATCACAGAAATGGAGATCAGAGGGGAAGGAGGTGGAGAAAATTGGGGAAAAAGGTACAGGGAATAAGAAGTATAATTCGCAGGTACAAAATAGACAGGGGGAAGTTAAGAACAGCATAGAAAACAGAGAAACCAGAAGCTTATATGTATGACCTATGTACATGAACTAAGGGGTGGGGAATGCTGGTGGGGCAGGTTGGCAGGGCAGAGGGGAATAAAGGGGAGGAAAAAAATGGGACAACTTTAATAGCATAATCAATAAAATATATATAAAATATTTTTTAAAAAAGCCAATTATCAAATTGGACACCTTTCAAATTTGATGCCTTCTTACCTTATAATATGCCTTTGCATTGTTAAAAAGCAGCTGGAAGTCAGCAGTCAGTAGATTAACATCATCATACTCTTCCATTTTCAGTTTCTGTTGGATTTTCATCAAGTCAATGGGCTGAGCAACCACTTCATAATAGTCTGGTTGATTTCTGTTATAATTTAATATTTTTTAAGAAAAGGTATTAATGCAAATCCTATAAAAAGCTGTATTTCAAATTATGTGTGGTGATGTCAATATTTCAAGTAATATAACACACTAGACTTAGTGCCATCAGCAGAACTAAAAGGAAATAAGAAAAGTAATATGCATATACAGACTCTTTTCAAAATATCTATCAGTGACATAAAAACCTAAATTAACATACGTGGTAGTCTTTGATATGTTAAATATTTAAGATTTGGGGTACCAACACTAAAACTGTGTCAACAGTATCTTCTGGAAATGAAAATTATTTATACTTTATGGTGTTCAATAGTGGCTTAAACAGGTATTTCAAAGCTCTTTACCAGTTTATGAAATCAATTGCCTATCTTTAGTTAGTGACCACAGAACTTTTTCAGCCAAGTACTATCAAGTGCCTAGTATCAATTACTAAAGTTATAAAGGAGAAACCTGAGGCCCTTGGCACAAGCAGCTGACCACAGATAAAAGGACATCAGACATATCTAAACACGACCAAACAATTAAAAAAACTAAAACACTTTGGGAATGATAAACACAAAATCCAGGAGCGTGATCACATACTGGAAGGGAAAAATAGCAGGGGACACACAGAAAACTTCAACAGTAGTTACCGTGATAATTTAAGTTGGGTTTCAGGTTCATGGATGTTTATTTTTTGTCCTTTCTGACTTTTTTCAAACAAAGTTCCAAGACACAAGTAGACCTTCTAAAAAATGATCTAGTAACTATTTTTCTCAATTCTCCCTTGGGGGTAGGTACTTAACTCCATTCCAGGTGTGAAAGAGATAAGATTACTTACAAAGAATGTCATGTTCATGAAAGCTTTAATATCTCTTGGGACCTTGGCTGACATGTCATGCATGTATACTTAATTTTTAAAAACTTTTTATTCTGACATAAAAGTTGCAGACTAGTATGAAGAATGCTTTTTTCTGAACCATTTGAGAGTGACATGTCCTATCACTTCTGAGTAGTTTAATGTATATTCCCTACAAACAAGGATCAGAGTTCAACTATCAATATCAGGAAATTAACTTTGATATAGTACCACAATCTAATCCTCAGACCCCCCCCCCCATATGTTTCCAACTGTTCCAAAATTGTCCTTTATGGCAAAAGGATCACCTCGAGTCACATGTTGCACTTAGTTATATTTCTTTAGTTTCCTTCATTCTGAAACAATTCCTCAGTCTTTCCTTGGCTTTCCTGGTGTTGATATTTTTGAAGATAACCAGCCAGTTATTTTGCAGAATATCCCTCAATTTGGGTTTGTCTGTTTTCCTGATAAGTTAATGCTTCTTTGGCAGGATTATGACAAAAATGATGGTGTATTTGTTTCACTGTATCATCTCAGCTGGCGTATGCTCTCAACTTGTCCCATTACTCAGTTGAAGTTGCTTTTGATCACATGAATATTGTGGTGTCTGCCAGTTTCTCAACTAAGTTACTCTTTTCCTCCTTGAGCTTTATGGATAGATACCTCCAGACTATGTAAAAGCCCATTCTTCATCAATTTATTCATTTATTTATAGTAATATGGATTCCTGTTTTATTCAGTGGATTAAAAATTACTATAATTTTTTAAAGTGATTGCATTTATTTTATTTTTAAGATTTTATTTATTTTTAGAGAAGGGAAGGGGGAGAAAGGGGGGGGGGGAGAGAAACATCAATGTGTGGTTGCATCTTGCACACCCCCTACTGGAGAACTATTCTGCAACCCAGACAAGTGCCCTACACTGGGAACGGAACTGGCAACCCTTTGGTTCACAGGTCAGCGCTCCATCCACTGAGTCACACCAGCTAGGGCTACTATAATAATTTTGAAGTTCAAACTGCTCCATGTTTGGCTAGCAGGAGTCCTTTCAAAATGGCTTTCATTTCTATGTCCTTTTCACATGTTCCCATCAACCATGCGGCACTTGCTTATTTTCTGGCACCATAAGATCTCAGAAGCTCATCTTGTACTTGCCCTTGAAATCAGAAATTTCCCCAAAGAACTATGGTTTATTTTAATGATAAATAGTATTTAAAAACCAAGACCAAAGTGCTAGGTGTGCTCATGTCTACTGAAGAAGAAGAATAAACTTAAGTTTTTTTAAATCCTTAACTACTTACAATTTGAGTAAACTATAAAATTAAGTATGAGGGGATAAAGGGAGTACTCAATCTGTTATTCAGAGAACATATAAGAACATAAAGGTCTCTGTGAGTACCCAACAAAGGTGCCAAGGGACTTGATATCCAAAACAGCTCTCTCCACCTGGGCCTGGTGGGCCAATGTTCACCGCTCCCTGCTAAGCCTTGGTTTTTAAATACCATTTACTTCCGCAGCCTCTCAGGCTTGAGTGATTATTTGTAGACAAGTGAGAACCCAATGAGGCCATGTACAGTAGTCCTTCTTTATTTCCAGTTTTGATTTCCATCGTTTCAGTTAACCATGGTAAACCACGGTCTTACAATATTAAATGGAAAATTCCAGAAATAAGCTTTAAGTTGCATTCTATTCATGCCACCCTGTTCCATCTTTCCCAGCACACAAATCATGCCTTCATCGAGAGGATCCACACTGTACACGACCTTCCCATTAGCCACTTAGTACCCAAGACTGTAATCATCAGACAGACTGCAGCAGTATTACAGTGTCTGTGTATAGGTAACCTTTACTTTACTTAATAGCCCCAAAGTCAAAGAGTAGTGATGCTGGCAATTCGGATATGCCAAAGAAAAGCTGTAAAGTGCTTCTGTTACGTGAAAAGGTGAAAATTAACTTAAATTAAGAAAAAAAAATTGAATGCTAAGGTTGCAAAGATCTATGAAAAGAATGAATCTTCTAACGCAGACCAGTGTGGCTCAGTTGGTTGGGCATCGTCCCACAAAGCAAAACGTCGCCAGCCAAGTGCTATTCCGAGTCAGGGCACATGCCTGGGTTATAGGTTCGGTCCCCATTCAGGGCCTTATGGAGGACAGCCAATTGATGTGTCTCTCCCTCTCCTCCTTCCCTTCCCCTCTAAATAAATTAATTAATTTTTTAAAAATGAATCTTCCATCTGTAACATTGTGAAGGAAAAAGAAATTCATGCTAGTTTTGCTGTCACATCTTAAACTCCAAAAGTTACAGCCACAGCACATGGCAAGTGCTTAATTAAGATGGAAAAGGCCTTACATTTGTGAGTGGAAGACATGAACAGAAAACATGTTCCAAATGACGGCAATGTGTTGCTCCAGAAAGCACTGAGACTATACAAAGACTTCAAGGGGACCCCTGAAACAAGTGACACCAAGCCATTTACTGCAAGTAAGGGTAGTTACACAAATTCAGGAATAGGTTTGGACTGAAAGATATAAATATTATCTGAGAGGCTACACCTCCAGATGAAGAAGCTGCTGCCTCACTACTGGCAGAACTGAAAACACTGATTAAGGAGAAAGGTATGTATGTACAGGAAAAACATACTGTATATGTAGGGTTTGAAACTATTCATGGTTTCCAGCATCCCCTGGGGATCTTGGAATGTATCCCTCATGGAAAGGAGGGAACCTAGTGTACCTAGAAAGGACACTATTTCCTGGACGCTACCCTAGAGGCTTCTCACAAACCTCCACAATTGCTACAGAAACAAAAAGGAGATAAGGATCCAACATTCCACTCTATATAATATAGTCAAAACACGTTCCCCCACTTTCAAAATAAAATAGCTCTACTAATTTTTCCCCTTTAAATCATCATACAGAAAAGCACTAAAAAGTATAAATTTGTCCTTATTTATCCAGAGTTGAAAGCACTGGTATTATTCTTGCAGACTTCTATGCACATGTAAACACAAACAGGATTGTGTAGTACATATTCTTTAATATCTGCTTTTCTATTTCAACAAAATATATGAGGGCACTCTTGCATATGGCTGCAGAACAGCCAAAGCAAAACTAAAAACTTTAAATGAGAAAAGTAAGAAACACCAGGCCTGATGTGCAGAGCCTGTGACTACACCATTTTCCCCTCTTCCCAGGTTTACAGCATTCTAAGCCTGCTGCCTAGGTAAAAAGATCATGTTCTTCAGCCTCACTGCAGCTACCAAATTCAAATTGAATTGGTTTTGGCCAATTCAAGAGCTGAAGCATGCTGTGTTCAGGACACAACTTTAACATGCCTTCTTTTTCCAATAGGCTGAAAAGTATTTGTGGACTCATCTCAGACCATGCAGACAAAGCTGACATCCCAAGGATAGCAGAATAAAAAGGCAGACAGTACTTGGACCATGAAAACTTCACAAAACTGGACTTTTACATGAAAGAAAGCAGTTTTTCTGCTTTCAGCCATTATTTGTATGTCCTGGTATAAGCAGCCTAATATACTAATCAAAACCAAGTCTCAAACTGAGATTCAAACTGTGTAGCTCAGAGCAATACTACCTCCCATGAACTCTGAGAAAACACACATATTCCACATAAGAGCAGAGATTCCAGAGACGCACAGCACTGGGAGAAGGTGGCAATGCTCACAGGCATCATATCATGGATGCTGGAAGACAATGTTCCAGCACCGAAGGCCTGTATCCTCTGCCCCTCAGCACTAGCCTGCCAGTTGAAAGCAGGCAGCAGAAGGGCAGTCTTTTCATGAGGGGTCTGTGTACTCTAGCACGATGTTGTTTCTCTACATAACATATTGGTTAAGAACACAGGCTTCAGAATGAGAAAAACTTAAGACTGAATTCTGGTTATCTTTTAGTAGTTCTGAAAACTTTAGCAAGTTCTCACCTATAAACTACAATAATACAAGTTAAAACTAAGATCTGAAAAGTGCTTGGCACTATGTCTAGCATGTCTAGCTTTTAGTATCATATGCTAAAAAAATAACAACTTTTAAAAGACTATTAATAATAAACCAACTGAAACCTGGAAATGGTTACCTCATTTTAAAAACAGTCCCTCTTTTATGGCCATCACTAAGTCACAGGGCCCTTTC